TCTTTGCCTCAATTTCTCAATCTTTAAAATGGGGATAATGACGCATACCTCACAGGGGTTTCCGAAGAGTAACATGAAATACGTTGAGAACTTTAGGTTTCAGAGTAGCAGCCGTGTTAGTCTGTATCCGCAAAAAGAACAGGAGTACTTGTGGCACCTTAGAGACCTTAACAAATTTATTAGAGCATAAGCTTTCATGGACTACAGCCCACTTCTTATCAAACTGTCTGTACTGGGCTAGCTTGATTATCACTTCAGAAGTTTTTTTCTCTTACTTAATTGGCCTCTCAGAGTTGGTAAGACAACTCCCACCTGTTCATGCTCTCTGCATGTGTGTGTGTATATATATCTCCTCAATATATGTTTCACTCTATATGCATCCGAAGAAGTGGGCTGTAGTCCACGAAAGCTTATGCTCTAATAAATTTGTTAGTCTCTAAGGTGCCACAAGTACTCCTGTTCTTTTTGTTGAGAACCTTAGCTGACGGGAGCTGTGGACATACACATTTCTCAAATTCATCTTTCATAGTATTTCTACATTTATTAATCCTTTAGGCTCCAGGTTCAATATCCTTATGTCACTTTTCTTTCTTGCAAAGCAGTCTAGCCCTCTTCTATTGGGTCACACCCTTTTCCTAATCCCAAAATGGGTACTCCAACCAATCAGACTCCCTTTGCTGTCTTCCAGCCCAGAAGTCAGGCAAAACAAACAACAAAAAAAGTAGGGAAGCTTCATATGAGGTTCCTCCTCCAATCCTCAATAGTGCTTAGATAGCAAGGTAGTTAGGCCAGGTCTACACTGTAAACGTGCATATTTATATCAATGTTGTGCAGGGGTGTATAAAATCCACAGCTGTGAGCGACGCAGTTATATCTACCGAACCCCTGTTGTAGACAGTGCTATGTTGACAAGAGAGCTTTTCCCTTCAACATAGCTACCGCCTCTCGTGGAAGTGGATTAACTATGCCAATGGGAGAAGCTCTCCCATCAGTGTAGTATTGTCTTCACTGAAGCGCTACAGTCCAGGCAAGAGCCTTGATCTGCCTAGCCTCACTTGAGTGCAAGAAACCCCACTGACTTCATGCACTAGCTCTCCTGCTGTAGCAGAAGCCTGGGGGAGGAGGAGGACAGTCAGTTCTCAAGGATTCATCACTGGTGAACAAGCTGTTTAAACAGAAGTATATTGCAGTAGAAGTTTTAAGAGGAAAGAAATTCATGCTCCCTTGTTTGATATCCAGATTTTACTTTTCCCAACTTCTGAATGTTGCCAGATGTACCCTTGTGTATACGATAGCCACAAGCCCTTTATTGTAACTGGTAACAAACCTATAAATACAAATGCAAGTGGAGATGTTTCTGGTGTGTGCAGGGAAGACTGTGGATTCATACTCTGGCCATAGTAGAGCCAGGGAGCTTATAACTAGTTACACTGCTTGGTGTTCAGCTGTTTGAATTTGTGATGTAGCTGTTAAAAAGCTTTCCAGCAGGATTCATTTACTCTCGAGCTCTGACAGCGTATTCATTTCTCCCCTTTGGGCCTCTTTGTACCACAATTTACAGCAACTAATTGTGATGCTACAAACAGAATTGTGACCATAGGTGAGAAATACCCGGTTCATGAATTCTAAAAGCCAGTCCTGTGCAAGAATGAAACTATCATAAAACAAACACAGGAAATTATTTAGAATTTTCTTATGTTGAATATTTTGAGTGTTCAGTAGCTCAAGTCTTTAAATTGCAGGATTGTTTTATGCCTCTTTGATGTGGGAGGGTGAGGGGAAGAGAACTGTTGCTTTTCCAATCCTTATTTTTCTGTTATAGTCTGGAATGTGTCCTCATGAGTTACAAGAAGAAATGCAAACCAGCGGAAGCCATCTCTCTCCTTCAAACCTGCTGTATTCTCAAGCTCTCACCTACTGATGTATAAAGCAAAATTATTTTGATTAGTCATGTGTTAACTTTCTCTGGTTTATAGGAAATGTGCCTTTATTTAAAAGTTACACTCCTAATTTTAAAATGCTAATAAGCACAGCCCACAACTTGCACAGTGCCTTGGTTATCTTGAGTATGAGCTGATGAAGAGGATTTCATGTTTGCGTTTCAGAATCTAGAAGCAATGTATTGTTGCCAGTGACTACTGCATTCTAGATAAATTTGAAGAGTATGTTTGGGTATCTGTCCTTTTCGCTGTCTCTTCCGTGCCCCAACTTAAACGTGTCTTTTCTGACACACTACTAAAGGGGTGGGAACCAAATCGTAAATTTGTGCCTTCTTGGAAGAAACTCTTAACACCTTTGCCATTTGAACAGACTTTGCCTGCCTTGTCTTACTCCATTAATGCCTTCTGACTGGTTGTGGAAGAGCCTGCCACCCTTGTAAACACTACTTGTCGTTCACTGCTGTCTTTTGAATATGCAGTTAAATTCTATTATTGAAGTTCTAAAGATTTGAGCACTGAACCATTAGTGCTGCCTTGTGGTATTTGTGATTAAACACTTCTTTATAAGGTGTTTACATTGTCTTCAAAAGACAGTCTGTCACTTTTTGGTGTCAGTTTAATCTAAAAGAGTACCTTTAAAAATGTTTAGTGTTTGTCATGTAGACACTTACCAAAGTTGGTTTTGTTTGGGGTTTTTGTCTTTTGCCAAAAAGTAGTTCAGTGAAGGCTTTTCTCTGCAAGCCAGCAAGATGTTTCCAGTGTAGAATCAGTGCCAAATGTAGTTTAAAATTTTATATATATATTTATATGTAAAATGTTTGCATTACTTCACACATTGTCTTCCCTCTAAACTAGTCCTCAGGGTGAGTGTTCCTCTAGGACTTCAGGAAAGGCTGGTAACAAATGCTGTTGCCTCTTCCCTCTTATCGCCAAACTTTTTAGGTATGGGTGACTACTCTCCAGGAGGAGGGAAAGAAATAACTTGGTGCTTCACCCATTGAGTCACCACTGTGTGTACTGTGTCTAATCTGTCTGTTTCTAATTTCTTCCCAGTCCTTGTTTCTACTCGTCTCTTTTTTCCTCCCTTACTTTTCAGGGTAGATTTACAAGTAGCTACACTGTGAAATTGATTCACGAACCTAATCAACATAGCCTACTTCTTTGAGTGTTGGATGTTGCTTTGGCTGTTATCATAAAAAATGAGCCAGACTCTTGATGGACAACTACCAGAAAGATGTGACTGAGCACTCAGAGGGTGGCTAAGCCCAATGGTGGATCTGCTCTCTAAGCACCTAGGGAGAAATATTGACCTCTTTACCCCAAAGTACAAGATGCTTTAGACTGATTTTTTTGTGTGTGTAATGAGTGTTGTGGAAAGCTGCTCTGTTGGCTTATAATTAACTATCTAAGGCCTTGCCTGTTTCTCTGAGGATGAAGAGGGAGAGAGGCAAGGATTTCTGTGCCTACTGAAGTACTTTAATTTCTGCTCTACCTTCATCACTGTAGTGACTAAATGTACAAAGTCTCTTAAAATAACTCTACTGTATAAATGCACCATGGACCAGTAACAAAGCTAACTGTACAAACTGAAATCTTATTAACTCACAATTAAGAAAATTTTTACTATTCTGTTTATGCTGCAGCTTTTAAAGGAATATTAACTCTGTGTACTAGTTCCTACACTTTCAGAGGTTTCTAAGTGTATGTCATCAGGCAGGCCTGGGTCCCTGCACTGTGCTGGCAAAGAGGCCTTTGTAACGTTTAATAAAGTGGCTTTTGAAACTTCCTCGTGTTCCCCTGTGTGTGTGTGTGGGGGGGGGGGGGTTAGGGAGCCAGGGCTCTGCCTTGCACTGCCGGGGAGGGCGGCTGCGCCTCCTGGGGGGCGGGCGTTGAGGCCGAGTGGGCCAAGGGCGGTTGCCGAGCTGGGGCAGGCGGAGCCCCGCCCAGTGTGAGAGGGACGTGGGGCGGGGCAGCTGGGCGCTGAGGCGGTTGCGGCTCGAGCCCCGGCCAGTAGCGTCCCGCTGACGTTCTAGCCCCTCGGGGGTTGAGGGAGGGACTTCCTGACAGCCTCTCTCCCGCGCCGCCCAAGTGAGTCCGCTAGGCTCCGCCCCCACTCCTATTGCCCTGTGGGAGCGCGGGGCGGCTGGCCCGGGGCCCAATGGGAGGAGGGGGCGGGGCCTACTCGCGTCGGGATGGGTGAGTGCGGCCGGGCGGAGGCAGGGGGAGGGACCCCGCTAGCGGCTCGAGCCCGGGTGTGAGGGGGAGGGCCCGAGCTCTGGGGGCTATAGCTACCGAGCCGCCGGGCTGAGGGCAAGGGCTGTATAGCAGCCCCGGGGTGGGGGCTTAACTCTCCGACCTTGGGGGCTCTATGACCTCCCCCCCCCCCCGTGAGCTGGGGCAGAGGTGAGGGTTTAGGGGGCTCTGTAACCCCCCCCCCTGGGCTGGAGTGGAGGTGAGGGGTTGGGGCGCTCTATAACACCTCCCATTCTGGGGTGGAAGTGAGGGGTGGGGGGGTGTCTCTATAACCCTCTTTTGGGGCAGGAGAGATGCTAAGACTGTATTTTCCCCCCACCCCCAGGTTAGGGAACTGTATAATCCTCCAGATTTGGGGAGAGGAGAGAAGAGGTGTTTGGTGGAGGTGGAACTGTGTAGCCCCCAGGACTGAAAGAGGTTTTGGAGGAAGGGGGAACTCTGTAGTTCACTGGTCTGGGGAGGAGGAAGAGGAGTGGATTTCAAAGGAAAGGAGTATGTAACACCACCAACCTGACACCCCCCCCCCCTACAAGGGAAGAGGAGTGTGGGCAGGGTATTATACAGAGCAGAGTGATTGTGAATTATAGTTTTTTTGTTTGTTTGTTTTTGGTTTGGGGGCCTAACAGAAAAATCCGAACAACATTTGGTTCAGTTTGAACTGAAAATGGACTTCAGTTTTTTTTCACCAAACCTCTCATGGAGGATAGGTCCATCAGTGGCCATTAGCCAGGGTGGGCAGGGATGGTGTCCCTAGCCTCTGTTTGCCAGAAGCTAGAAATGGACGACAGGATGGATCACTTAATGATTACCTGTTCTGTTCATTTCCTCTGACACACTTGGCATTGGCCTCTGTCAGAAGACAGGTCCATCTAGCCAAGTATTCTTTCTTATATTCTTAACCAAACCAAAAATAAGTTTCAAGTCAAACAAAATGTTTAGTTTGACCTGGAATGAATGTTGTTTTGGGTTTTTTTGGTCTCAGGTTATTTTCAGGTTGGTTTGGAATTTTTTGTTTGTTTCATTTTGTATCAGTTGTCTTTTCAAAGAATGCTACTCTGGAGGTCCTGGACTTCAATCTCTTACCTAGAAGCCTAAATTTGGCCTCCAGAACCTCTCGCATGCCTTTCCCTATGTCATTGGTACCTACATGTACCATGATCACCAGCGCCTCCCCAGCACTACACATATGTATGTCCTAGATGTCTTGAGAGATCCTCAACCTTTATACCTGGCAGGCAATTGCCCATGCAGTTCTAGTCTGGTATCCATCCTACAACAGTGATCTATCCCAGATGCTTCTAAGAGAGCTGACTCTTCACCTGCCTCGTATTCTCCCCAAAATAATGCATATCTGAACTTATGCAATTGTGTATCTTGGAGTAGGAGAAAAATTTCCCACCCCAGCTGGTGAGCATCTTATGTCCTGAACTATGAGCAGTAGTCCTTGTAATTTTTTTATCAAGTCATGAATTAGCCCCCATGTAATTGTGTAATTTATAGCATTGCTAATTTGATTTAAAATATCCTATAGTCTGTGTTTGGACAGATGAGTCACATATGCTGCTTCTATTAGTGTCTATACTGGGTTCACGTGTAATGTCTTGCTTTAAAAAATGTGCCCCTCCTGGGCCAAAATATGATGCTTTATTGTCTTTTGCAATAAATAATAAAGCTCAGATGTTCTTCATGGTGACTCCTATGCAACTGAAATGCCCATGTTGGGGTTTAAATATTGCGTTTGGATAATATGCAATGGACTTAAATTACAGCAAGGGAGGTTTAGGTTGGACATTAGGAAAAACTTCCTGTCAGGGTAGTTAAGCACTGAAATAAATTGCCTAGGGAGGTTGTGAAATCGCCATCATTGAAAGCAGGTTAGACAAACACTTGTCATGGATGGTCTTGATAATACTTAGTCCTGCCTCAGTGCAAGTAACTGGACTAGAAGACCGCTCGTGGTCCCTTCCAGTCCTACAATTCTATGCATTAGTCTCTTGAATCCTGCATGTGTCTCTTCTGTGTACTGTGGATCTGCACAGCCTGACAATCATGTAATTTGCATAGTGATCTGTGCCAAGGCACTCAGCCTTGTGTGGCCATTGGGTACAGTGCTTCATCACTCCCTATTAGGTAAGAGTAGAGCATGTCCCCTTAAGCTGTTATGTGATGTGTGTATGAAATGGATTAAACCGGGGTAGGCAACCTATGGAGCTGATTTTCAGTGGCACTTACACTGCCCGGTCCTGGCCACCGGCCTGGGGGGCTCTGCATTTAATTTAATTTTAAATGAAGCTTCTTATACATTTTTAAAACCTTATTTACTTTACATACAACAATAGTTTAGCTATATATTATAGACTTATAGAAAGAGACCTTCTAAAAACGTTAAAATGTATTACTGGCACACAAATTAGAGTGAATAAATGAAGACTCTGCACACCACTTCTGAAAGGTTGCCGACCCCTGGATTAAACTTTCAGAATAGGTCCTGTACTTATTGCTATCAGTTCTGGTTTGGATTGGGCTGTTCATTGCTGCATGATCACCTTGTTAGCACTACAGGGAGGATCAAAGATTGAGTCAGTGGTTTGAGGGATAGCTTAATGGTTTGAGCATTGGCCTGCTAAACCCACAGTTGTGAGTTCAAACCTTGAGGGGGCCATTTAGGGATCTGGGGCAAATTGGTATTTGGTCCTGCTAGTGAAGGCAGGGGACTGGACTCAATGACCTTTCAAGGTCCCTTCCAGCTCTATGAGATAGGTATATCTCCCTATATTTTAGAGGGGAGTGATAGCTCAGTGGTTTGAGCATTGGCCTACTAAACCCAGGGTTGTGCATTCAATCCTTGAGTGGGCCATTTTTGAATCTGGGGCAAAAATCCATCTGGGGAGTGGTCCTGCTTTGAGTAGGGGGTTGGACTAGATGACCTCCTGAAGTCCCTTCCAACCCTGATATTCTATGATTTAAAAGTCAGGATTGTAGGAGCTGTTTCCAAAATCCTCTCCTCATTGACATTTCTTGTTTATTTTGTTTTCCTCTGTTTTTCAGTCAGGAAACGGTTCATTTTTCCAAGCCGTGAATGACTATGGAGTATTCCAAACAGACGTAACAACATACAGCATTGAGGAGCTGGTAGCAGTTACATCTGAACGCACCCCAAAAAACACAGTAAGTTCAGCTGCAAATCAGAGGTGTCCTTCATCCATTCTGATTCGGGAAATGCAAGACTAACAAGTGCAGAAAAAAGTAACATTTCTTTTCCCCTTTGCCAAATGTAGTCAAGGTCTCCTTCAGAATCCCTTAGTTCTCTCAAATCACAAAAAAGTTTGTCATTTCTTGAGACAGCTTTGGTAAAATAGCTCCAAACCTGGAGAAGCAGTGTAGTTCGGGATGGCTTCTCTTTGGTTCATATTTGTACTTCAGGAATAAATTATTTCTACTTACTTTCTTCCTGATATACAGCATGTGCTGTGCTCCCTGGCTTTGCTTGGAAGAATGAAGGTTTCTTGAGATTATTTCAGTACCATTGGAGAGCGAGGTAGAGATAGATGGAATTGTCTTGAGTTTTCAGTGGTGTCACACCTCGATGTTGGTAGTGAGGGCCAGGTCCTGTTCATAGCAACTTCTGTGTGGTCAGAAACCAATATGTTCCTTGGGTAGGCTGATGGCCACAATGGGCCCAATTTGGAATCATGTGCCCTATTATGTTAACAGTAGGAAGCCAGGAACAAACTTATAGAATGAGGAATTGTGATGCCTTGAATAAAATAAGATTTTGAACCCAGCACTCTAGTTTGAGCACAGATTTCTGAAGCTTTGTCTCAACCAATAATTTTGTACACTTATGTCACTGCTGGTGTGCTTTGGAGGAAATTACTTTTAAGAAATGCCTGTTTTCTAATCTAATCTAAGCAGGAAAGTCGTGTTCATCATTGGCTGGCACAAAGTCCGAACGTAAGTCAGTTGTGGAACTGAACCCCTCAGAGACTTTCTCTTTCCCACTAAACTCTCTGCATAGCAAAACCACTTTCTTTACTATATCAGAGTACTACCACTAGTAATGCACTGGAGAGCAGCTAGCTGGCATGTGTGCTTCGGCCCATTTCTCAAAAGAGACAGCCTGGGTTAGCGAAGGAGCATAACAGTAATGAAATATTGGACAAATGGAAGCCCAAGCAAATTCTACTGGGGTACCTAAATCTTCCTTTTCTTGTCATGGGCCCTAATTGAATAGAGACTATCACTTGCACCAAGTTGTATGTTGGTTTAATGAAGCAAATGCCCGCAACAGGTAAGAGAAGTCACAGACACTCATTTTATTTGCAACATTTTCCAAGTTTGACCCAACTCATGTTAGGCAAAAGTTCATTGTCTTTACTCCCCTCCCCCAGATAAAACTCAGTGCACTGACTGCCAGCAATAGAGTCCCTGAAACTCCTTCCTAAATACTTTATTCTGGTGACTGCAGGTAGATGATTTCAGCCAATCAGAGTACTCTCTGTACCCCTGATTATTCTTGCTGACTAAGCTGGAGATGACATCAACCCGAGGTGACCAAATCAGGGGTCAGTGCATGCTCATTCATGCCTCCAGACAAAAACACTTCAGGCTGTCAGACATGTTAATTATCTTTCTATCTATCTGTCTATATCAGGGAGTTTTATAGCATCCATCATGGTATCCATGGACTTACTACACAGACTAAAATTATTGCCAGTGAATGTTCTTAAAGGTTAGCTATAAAAACAGAATTTTGATTTAACCCTTTGGAGACTGAGGCAGAGGCACAGATACATTCCCCAAGAACCTATGTACTCAGTATTTTGGAAAGACCTGCTGGTAGATGCCTAGCAGTACAAGCCTCAGATGCAGTGATATATAGAGAAGTATTTCAGCAACTGTTGTTTTCAAAGCCAAATCATCTGTCTTTCAGTCTTAAAAATTAATTTAAATTTAAAAAAAATATATTAGTAAGTCAAGAATCATCCTAGTCCATTAAAATGTCAGTGGGGTGGAGAGTTGGGTTTTGGTTTTTAAATTTGGAAAATGAATATAGTAGCTGTCACAGCAGAAAGAGGAAGAGAGATGTTATCCTCTGGAATGCCACAGTTTTCAGACCTAAATGTGTTTTGTACAAATATTTAAAATGGTGATGCCCCTGTAAAACAATAGGGCTATGGGAAGGAACTGTCACTTTCTTTTTGGGTAGTAATAATCCCTTGCCTGAATTGTTTCTGATATTTTCCCTCCTAGTGTACTATTTGAGGACCAGAATAGCACCTCATAAAGCAGCAGAGTTAATACCGTTCCCTAAAAATCTGCTCTGTAATCTTGTTTATATAGATCTTTCTTTAACTAAATTAGGTTTGACTTGACATTAAACTTTCATTGGTATTTCACAGGAGCTCTCTGAATGAAGATGTTTTTGCTGCAAGAAGCAAAGAGATGAGCAGTGTCAATAAAGAGATAAGAGAATTGCAAGGACAAATATACAAGCTTCTCCTGCAGGTAAAGAGGATGAAGGAAAATCTGAAAGTCTCACAAAATAATGAAGATTCTTCACTTACATCTCTGGAGTCACTAGAAATTTTGTGTTGCTAACTGCATTATCTCTTTTTACTGTTAGCTCTAAGACAATGAATTCTGCCTTTCTTACAGCCAGTTCATAGCAATGATTCTAGTGGTTATGGAAGACTTGGTAGCAATGGGTCTTACGAACATTACATCAGCATAGCGTCCTCTAGTGACTCCAGTGGGAATTGTGCTGAGGAAATACAGCAGAACTAGTAAGTCTATCAATATGACATTGCCCAGGTAACAATAGAAATATAATAATAAAACTGAAAATTCTCATGGCAGACATACTCCACGCATTGTGAAATTATATTGAAGTGGGAAGATACAAGACAAATCAAGAGCTTGAGTTATATATACTTGGAATGGTCCAACATACAAAATTTTTAAATTGCCAGAGTAAGCATTTACCTGACTGGAATTGTCAGATACCTCAAACAAAGTTATCATGTGAAGTAAATTACAGACATATAATGATATATAGTGACTTCTTTCAGAGAACTGGCAGACTTGACAAAATAATGGGGAAACCAGGTTAAAAAGAAATGGCATCTAGGGTTAAAAGAAATGTGCAGGGTACCCCTATCAGAATACATATGTGAACAGACATTCTGTGAATACAAATTTTAAATATAGTTTCCTAAACAATATCCTGGGTAAGTCATTCACTTGTTCTATCCTTTCATCTCTGAAGGCTTATATCAATTCAAGAAAATTATTCAAACGCAGAGGTTGTAGACTTTACCATAGTGAATCTGAGTGATAAAAGTCAAGACATGCCAAGCTCAGGCTGACAAGTCCATCCCTCTATGCTAGGTTGGATTGAGGTACCTTAGCACATTATTGTGCTTATGTTTGCCTGTGTTTACTCATGTTTCCTCAGTCTGACTCCAGTAATTTTCTCACACCCCCAGATGACATTGCAGCAGGTCTGTGCCAATGTGAACTGAATAAAGAATCTGGGTCAACACCTGCATAGTAAATCACAGAGCAAACTGCAGAACAGAAAGGATCCAGTCCTAGATACTGTACTGCAGGGAGGTGAGTTAATAGAATCCTGATCCCTAGATGAAATGTGAATTCCCCATGATCTGTAGTCCTGCCTTTTAGACTTGAGTGGCGTACTGGCTCTGACAGCTTCGTGTTAGAAATTCTTACATCATGTAAAATAGATCTAAGTGTTTGCTGTTCTAACCCATTTTATTGGAGAAGCAGGCTATGGTTATCAAACTCTTGTATTGCAATAGTGCACAGAGTCGCTGATCAGGACCCTTTTGTGCATAGGCACAGTGCAAATACGTAAGAAAACATGGTCTCTACCCCAAAGAGCTTGCAATCTAAGATTGAAATCCTCCACTAAAATGTTTAGGAATTTGAAGTCCTGTTTCATTACTAAAGTTAAATTAAACTTCTAGGTGTGTTGACAGCAAGATTCTACTATGAATTGTGAGACCCAGCGTTAAGTCCACTGTGAACAGTGACTTGTGCACAGCCTCAATGAGGAGAGCTCATATCCTGTGATCACTGTGCTACCTTTTAAGCTAATAGAATGGTTTTAACATCAATACTATGAGTTGCCATAGTTTCTCTTGGTTTAGAGGTCAGATGTTGTGATTTGTAAATAGGGATGGCGAGCAGTAGAAAGTAACTAAAGCTACTTTTAAAATTGGCAGCATTTGAAAAACTAATTGATAAACCTACTTATGTGATGGGAAGGCTTAGTATCTGGGGTTTCCATCCCATCACCAAGGATACTTCAGTTAGCCAGCTGGTGTTAGGGTAGGACAGGGGTTGGCAACGTTTGGCACGCGGCTCGCCAGGGTAAGCACCCTGGCGGGCCGGGCCAGTTTATTTACCTGCTGACACGGCAGGTTCGGCCGATCGTGGCCCCCACTGGCAGCGGTTCGCTGTCCCTGGCCAATGGGGGCGGCGGGAAGCGGCGCGGGTGAGGGATGTGTCTCCTTTGTGTTCACTAAGATCTTCTGGAGTGGATGTTTCATCTTAAGCTTGTAATTTTTTTTCTTGTAGACAATACATTGTTTCAGAAAAATGTCCTCATTTGAACTCACAGAATTAGTTAATTTATGGGAGTGATACTATCACAGGCCATGTACCCTCATAAAGACTTACTTAGGGGGCAGCTCTAAGATGCTTTTGGAAGATGACGATTTTTTTTCTTTTGTAGGCAAACAGAACACTGCTTCGTATATTCTCCAGGCACTGAGAAGTAACATCACTGAAGGCCCAGAGAGTTCATCCTGTGATGATTCAAGGAAGATACAACATGTTCTAGCCTACCAGCAGAGCAGCTGTGAGGACAGTATCATCATGTGGTAAACTTGCTCTAGAATTATTTTGGGGAAGTTCTACAGCCTGTGTTATGCAGGAGATCAGACTAGATGGTCACAATGGTTTGTTCAGGCGTTTGAAACTATGAACATTATAGCATTCTGTTAGCACAGGAGAATCAAAAAATGAAACTGTCAAGAAATGAAAAAGTCTTGTTTCACAGCCAAAGTACAGTGAATGTAAAAAGTAAACAGCATGAACAGTTAGTCACAATTATTTTTAAGTATTTAAACTTTTTTTTTCATATCAGTATCTTATACTACAACTAAGTGCCTGAGCAACCATCAAACAAAGATGAAAATTCTCTGACAAACTTGGAACTTTCCCTTATAGAATTGACTAGTCTGTATCAGGCTAAAATATAGTTAATGCAAAACCCAATGTTAGTGATGCATGTAGGAGCCTGTCATATGCTTGATTTGGCCAGGATTATAAAAGGAAAAGGAAAGGTAGTGCAAAAGAGACCCGTAGGGGAACATTCCTTTCTGCTCCCAGCTGGCTGAAGCTGGACTGGCCTCGGGGGTGTATTTCCCAGTTGTTTGAGTTGATTTGTACTGGTTTTGAATTGGTGCTTTTGAGAATAAAGCCAGCCCTGAAGACGGGGATGTGAAGAGTCCAGCAGTTGGGACTTGGGTTTTCCTTCCCCTGCTAGTGGGTCTCCCCCCGGCTTACAGTTAGTTTGAAAAACCAAGCGCTCAGCTATTGGAATTACTTGATGTTTAAGGTTGAATGCTCATCCTCTACTTGCTTCCTTGTGCATATGCATTCTGTATTGTGTATATCGTATTCATTGTCAAATAATACAAGATATAATTCAAACTGGAATCTCTTCTATAACCTTAGTACTGTGAACACTCTGTACTTAGCTGTATTACTGAAAATATGACTGCATCCTCTGCTAAATAGTCACCCTGATGTTACGCTTATGGTTCGGTATAGACTATAGTATGTAAAATAATAAGATACTATCACCTTACTTCTGAGGTTGAGTTCATGTCTGTCTGAGCAAATGGAGTAGAAATTGCTTCCATGATTATAGCTTTATAGGAACTTCAGTAGATGTGCACTTATGCTATAGATCTCTTGTGTTTGACCTTGCTTCCATTTATAAAGATGGACTGGCTGGTACAACCACAGATGATACAAGCTCAGATAGAGCTTGCACAGTTAGTTCCAGTGAAGGATGGACAGGAACCTAGTGCTGTTACTGTATCATTCCTGTGCACCTCAGTCTCCGGGGGTGGGATATCATTCACTCAGCTGCTGTTGTATGAATATATTTCAGTTGTGACTTATGTTGTTCTCTCTCCCTCTGCAATGTCACGTGAACCCACTCAGTAGCTCAGATGAGATTGTTTTTTGAATGATCATTCATTGAAAGGGGGAACAAACCCCAGGATGCCAGGCCAAAGAGTTACTTGTTTTCCTTCTCTTTTGTAGAAGTGACTGCAATAGAAGATGCCACTGTGGAGTATGAACAAATTGAGCTGCCTCCTCTGAATGCTCAGAGTCCCACTGTGGTTCTTGAGGAATTTATGCAAGTTGGACTAACAAAGGAGGTTTTGTCAGCCCACACTCTGAAAGAGGAGCAGAACTACATTGACGGGCTCCACCAGAGGATATTGTCATCTCTGTATAGGTCCTATCTCTATCAAGGGAGCAGAAGCAACAGTGGATTTTCCTATGGTCAAGGTAGGCACCAGTTGTTCTGTGTGGTAAATGAATTAGTAATTGAGTCTAGTTCTGCATCTTGTGACCTAATCAATATCTTACTAGTCCTGCAAATCCGAGCAGGATGTTTTCTTCTAACTGCTGGGGCTTAATAGTAGTCACAGCACAGAAGTCTCTACCCAGTCCTAGATACTGCTATCCTGGACTTGTATCAGGACATGTAACTCTTACAATAAACGCTGCAAAAGGCCACACAGCAGAGTAATGCCTCCTATTACTAGGACTCCAATACTCTGAAAGAATAGGTCGGGGTAAGCTTAGGAGAGCAGTAAGAGGGGCTGATGAGATATAGAAGAGGACTGTCTGGGCCTGCTAGCAAAAATGTTCCTATCCTGACTGGAGAAACTGTCCAGGGGCATATTCTGCTAAATTAACTTTCTGAATGTGTTGCATATTCTCCATTATTTCTCTGAAGGCCTGTCTCTGTCTCTCCATACCTGCTGCTTCAGTGAATGACTATTTTTCCTCTCTTTTAGGAGACTCCTCTTCAAAGCAGACCAGCCCAGTTAGCTGTAGAAGAGGCAAATGTGGGAAACTCAAGTGCCAGAAACCACTAGAGCCCTCATACAGGCATTCATCTAATAGAAATGATCTTCCACACAAGAAGAGAACCGCTTCTGGGAAACAGTTCTGCTCTCCCTCTAAAGCAGTGGTTCCCAAACTTGTTCCACCGCTTGTGCAGGGAAAGCCCCTGGCGGGCCGGGCCGGTTTGTTTACCTTGCCGCGTCCGCAGGTTCGGCCAATCGCGGCTCCCAGTGGCTGCGGTTCGCTGCTTCAGGCCAATGGGAGCTGCTAGAAGCGGCATGGGCCGAGGGACGTACTGGCTGGCCACTTCCAGCAGCTCCCATTGGCCTGGAGCAGCGAACCGCGGCCACTGGGAGCCGCGATCGGCCGGACCTGCGGACGCAGCAGGTACACAAACCGGCCCGGCCCGCCAGGGGCTTTCCCTGCACAAGCAGCGTCCCAAGTTTGGGAACCACTGCTCTAAAGCATCACATCTGGAACCCCCACAGTGTGACCTTCCCTCATTCCTTGGCCCTTCCCATCCATTCTTACCCAGTGTCTGGTTTTCCTATCCCCTTCATGACCCCTATAGGAGGTGATTGTGCCACCCACTCAGTAAGACCTGAGTCCATATCATCACATCTGCCCTACAACATGCAACCCCTTCCAGCCTTCCCTTTTCCATACATGGACACAGTTTTGGCCATGTTGTTTCACAGTTTCCCCAGATATACTCAGATACCTCAGCCTTTCTTTCTTGCTCAGTATGCTTGCTCCTCCTCTTTAAATCCATGCTCCACAATGCCCCCAGGCCCTCTCTTCAGTATACCATCAAACCCTGTGGCGCAGCCCTCTCCAATATCTACACCCATGTCTGTTGAAGAGCAGCAAGAGACCCAGAGTGATCAGCCACCACTGTTCAGTAGCTTCAGTTGAACCTGCTTCAAGAGGAGCTGCCAAGCCTTTGGAACCTCCCAGTGGAGCTGGAGCACATGTGGAAATTAAATGTGTAAGTAATGCCAGGTATTAAATGCAAACAAGGAGCCCTATAGGAAACCTGACTTTTGTGGGGTTTGATCAGCAGACACTGATACTGTTCTGTGTTCAAGCATCACAGCAGGTTTTTTATCACTGACTATATTTTACAGAATGAAAGGTACAAATTGCTTTCAGGCTCTGACCAAAAAAGTAGTTTATATTCAAGTTCTTGGACTCTTCTTACAATACAATATTGGCAGCTATAAATGTCACAAAACAGTGCCCTTCCAGTCCAGGCTACCATGGGTTGCCTTTGCTCTCTTAGGCAGTGGTGTTTTAGTTCATGCTGTCTACCAGGAATGTTGGGTGGGCTTTCTGTATGTGGAACCTGGCTAGGGCTGCACAACTCACTTCCTCTCTGAACCAGTCCTTCAGGCTTTGTGGAAAGCCAAAACAAAGGGAAGACATCATTTTAATTAATTACCCCCTTTGTCTCCCAGGGATGCAGCTAATGAATGAAGAACAGGGAATCTGTGTGGGTCGGTTTCCATATGGGGCATAGAAAAAGCCTTTCTCCAACTTCCGCTGTATACTCAGAGGCAGGAATCTGAGGTCTGTAGGCAAGGAAAAAGTGTTGGCTCCTGAATCCAGATTGGGCTTTAACCACTGAATCTTTGCTGGGTAGGGCCCTGAAGGGGAGTGACATAGCCATGGCTGCAGAAGCTGAGAGTTTCACATAGTGAATCGGGAGACAAGAATACTTAAGCTTCCTTGTAGTATACCGTTATGCTTGCTTGATAGCCATGGCTGTGTTGACACAGCATAAAGAAGCAACTAACTGATTTTTGCTGTCTTGTCAGCAGAAAATCTTGAAATCAGCAAAATTATAGTATCTTGAAATAAATCTGATAAAAAGGGTCCACAGCAGAAACCAGTATGATGAAAGCCCAGAGGGTTGCTGGCTTCACCATGAGTGTTTGTTTATCCTGAGCTTCAGGGGCAGTGATTTATTTTCAGACCTGTAAACTCCATATTAATCTGCTGAATTGATGTAGGAACTACTAGCACTTCTATTGCACTGCCCACCAAAATCAGAAACTCCCCTTTTCAATCATGAAGGTAACTTCTGTGGATAGATTGTTACATTCTCTTTCCAGGGCATTGATCTGGAGAATAGTGAAAGCCACTCTGTTTCCAGTGAACTGTTTGACCTTTTATTGTGTGAGGGCTCTCAGATGTGTACAAGTTCAGCAACATCAGGCAATGAATCAGCTGAATCTAGCTCTATAGGCTCTTGTTCTAATGGTTCTAGCACCAATGAGGTTTCTCCTTGTGGCACAGGTAGGGAAGCTTTGGGATTGGGGTGCCATTGCTATAGTCAGATGTCCCTAAACTGTGGGGCACACCCCCATAGGGGGGCACAGAGGAACTTTCGGGGGGGCCCAGCTGGGGCCTGGGCCAGCCCCCACGAGGGGTAGGGAGGGGGTACCACCCAGCTATGCTCCTGGCTGCTGACTTGGCCCTCCGCGCCCGGGTACCCAGCTGCCAGCCCAGGGGACCGGATGAGGCTCCGCCCCAGCTGTGTCCCCAGCCTCAGCCCCCTTACTCCTGTCTGTGTCCCCCGCTTCACAGAGCCACAGCCCTGGCTCGGGCAGGGGGGCACAGACAGGTGGGGGGGGGCACAAGGTAAAAAGTTTGGGGACCACTGGCTTAAGTCATGGATGGCGTATTGTAGTACTGAACCTATTAACTGTTTACAGCTAGAGGTTATGGTGGGTGTGGGAACTCGCCACTGAAAGGGGTGGTGGTTGTTTTTTTAAACCAATTGTCAAAGTTAATTATTTGGGGGCAATTATTACTTAATGTGCTTTAGACAGGGCCGGCTCCAGGGTTTTGGCCGCCCCAAGCAGCCAAAAAAAAAAGCCGCAATCGCGATCTTGGCGGCAATTCAGCAGGAGGTCCTTCGCTCCGAGCCAGAGTGAGGGACTGTCTGCCGAATTGCCGCCGAATAGCTGGACGTGCCGCCCCCCTCCGGAGTGGCCGCCCCAAGCACCTGCTTGACAAGCTGGTGCCTGGAGCCGGCCCTGGCTTTAGAGTTAAACAAAACAGGAATCTGAAATGTCTCTATTTTTCCTTGTACATCAAGCCTTTCCATGCTGTTTTGTTGCGTTTTGTTCCACACATTGATCATAGCCTGCATCCCACTTGACCCAGGGTGAGGCTGACGAGAGGAGGGTCTCTTCAAACAGTCACTGGGAAAATAGGACAAACTCATTTTGAAGAAGGGAAGGAGTTGTGTGAGGTGTGGATTGTGTGTTTGTGGGAATCTTGAGATGCTCAGTAGAAGTAGAGTTATACTTTGGGTTCCTAAGAGTCAGCAGCAGCTTGTAATCTCTTGCCATAAGGATCATCTGAACAGTTACCTGCGGTCCAAGTGTAGAATCAGCCCACAAGGGGCTTGCAAATTAATTCACTGCCTGTGCTGGATTTTGAGAGATTTTTACAGGAAACTGTTGACTTAATTTTCTGCAATAATTCTCAGCAGGCAGTCAGTGTGAGTCAGTCTGGAAGATGATGGATTGTACACCTGAGCCTGTACTAATGACATATCAAGTACCTGACAGGTGAGGAAATAGTAACATTTTTCTAACACTGTGTTCAAAATTATGCATAGAAGAATTATAGAATTAGAAATGAGGCTATAGGAACTCTACAGGCTTCATCCAAGAAGACAGCATGAGCTGTCCCTATTGTTCTGTATGGTTTAAAAAAAAGGGATGCCTGGGGGGGATCCCAAGTTGTCCTAGAGGTTGGAGCCAGAAAAGCAATCATTTGTATCCTGTAGCCTTTCATGCTGCATGTCATGCCCATTAGTATGATCTAATATCTCCTGAATCTTCCAAGGATGGCCTGTTGCTTACAACTAAAGATGCACAAACCCATGTATTGTAAGACACAAAAGGAGAAAATTTCCCACATTAAAGTGCATCTAAACTGCTTCCCTCACAAGGCTAGTTTTTCTCCTGGGTGCTGTAGTCTCCAGGATTTTGGATCCATGAAGAAAGGGACAATTAGAGTTGGCTTTTGGTGGGTTATGCAAGTTTAGGGTGCCATCTCCAGAGAATCACAATCATGTTCTCCTTTGGCGTTATCATAATCATTTTAAACACCTAGAACCTAACGACTGTCATTTTGATCATCCCTTCCATACAGAGCACTCTTCACTTATGTACAATAAAGATTTTGAATGTAACCCAGTTTCCAAGCCTGCTACATTTCTGTTGTGTTTCCACCTTGATTTTCCAAGAGAATTAAGTGGGCACTGCCAGGTTTTAAAAACCAGATTTAATTATTGCTGTTTTCAATAACACGTGAGATTATTAAAATAAAGAATTTTAGAATCTTAATTTACTGTTCACCATTTATGCTGTTTAATTTTAGCTTTTCTCCCATCTAAAATGACCCTGACCCCCTACAAAAACTTAGGTACCTGCTTACTGATCAGGGCCTACATTAGCAAGAGGTGACAGACAGGATGAGGAAGTAGGTATAAGGAGAACCAAGACCACAACAGTTAGTCTTGTTGTTTGCAGGGAGAGAAAACTCAGATATTGAAATTCAGTGATTTATTCAAGGCTACAGTTTCACTGACAGAACCATGATTAGAACTAAAACATACCTGGCTTCCGAGCGCCATACTCAGTCGACTTAAACCACACTGCTTCACTGTGGAATATCTTACCACCTATGCAGAAAGCACCTTTGAAAACCTTTATTTCTCTTACTTTCAGGAGTTAATATTTTCCCTTGGTTTAGATTAACGTTTCTACTTTTGTCCATAGTTTGCCTGTGTGACCTAAGTGGAGATCCAGTTCTGATCTGAAAGGTAGGCAGAGTATATTTTGTAGCCATATTTGCACACTCTGCGGCTTCATCAAACTGGAAATTTGGTTGGTGGAGCTTATGAATCTTTGTTACATGCAAAACTGGATGTTAAAACAAACTGTTGTGTTTATGCTAATATTTGCCCAACATGGCTATAAATGGAAGGTACCCCAGTGGTGTTTCTGTGATGTAGTGAGCATTCATCAAAAGGAGAAAGGTGCTTTGCCTGTGGAGTAACTCCACAATTGCATTAAACTTTATTACAAATCACCTTTTGAATAATTTTTACTTGAATTGAATCTGTGATCAGCTGTGGTTGAATTTACGCATACAATTTTAAATGTATTTTTAAACAGGTGTTCTGTTTTTTTATAAATAAACTGGAAAACATCCTGTGAAGAACTTCTAGACGTGTGTTCTTGTTTTGATTGTTTTTGTGGGTTTTTTAGAAAAGTAGCCCCTTACTCTATTCTTTGTCAATGTTATTACACACTTAGCTGGAGGGAGTGACTACAATAAAGATGGTCACATAGCATCAAGCTGTTTTATTTTTCTGTCTCACTTTGTACTTTTCACCAATTCCAACAAATGTTGTTTGCCATTTAACACAATTACAAAGTGGCAGGATGGAGTCATATTTGCTAAGTATAAAAGCTTTTTGGGTTCAGCGTGCAGAATTTCAAACTTGCATGTGTATTGGATGAGTCAGAAAGACAGGTAAGTGTGGAAAACAGCCTGAGAACTCCCCAGGCCCAAAGTGTCTAAGTTCCCTATCCCCAGAGAAAGAACAGTCTGTGCAGTTGCAGTGGCAGCTTCCCCAAGTGGGCCCTGTATCTGGAAGGGACCCCATCTGCAGGGTGGACCAGTGATTTCATTCTTCATAGTATCATCAAAAGTGATTACTGACAGGCGCCTCAATTAGAATAAAACAATTTCTATACACTCCATTGAGAAACATTTTCTATGTGAGTTGATCTTTTCCTGGTTCTGGATTTTTAGACAAAACCTGTCATCCAAAGGGAATCGGTGACATCAGTAATAGCTAGAGAAGTCTACAGGAAAAAGGCAAAATCTATTACACTTCCTTCAATGACAAGACAAATGTTTTTTATTGCAGTTTCATTAAAATCAGAAGTGGAAAAGACAGTCCTTGTTAAACATTCAACTGAATAGGCTCCTGGTGCTGCAGCTGCTGCAGTTCCACTAAACGTAGAGACCTTGTTTTAGCCATAAGAAGTCTTTTCTTGCCTGTTTATTCAATGGAGGTTTTGGACACACATCTAAATGGAAAAGGAGCGTCTTCTTCTGTGAGCAGAGTCATGCCACGACTCTGTTTCATATAGTTGAAATATGTTCCATAGTCAACAGACTGTAAGTCCTTCACTATGCGATTCATCCAGGACTGTCTACAGGTCTTCCTGATGGAGCTAGTATGCTAGCTGTGTGCCAAACCACACACTGGAGCACTTGTCACAGGCCTCTGACACTTAAGATAGGCCGAGAAAAACTTGAAGGCTTGCCTGAGAGCAAGACTCCCATGATTCTTTGCAGTTAAGATAGAACTAGCTTTAGAGTGGAATTTTACTGAGAAGTAACACTTAGCCTATTTTGAAAACTGTTGTAGGAGATATTTTAGATATGAAATGAATTCCAGTGGAACAGGGAACCTTGCAAATAGCCTAAGATAAGAAGTGTGTACCACAAAGTGGAAAGAGATAAGGACCAGAATGATACACAGCAAGGAACATAAAAGTGTAATTGTAAGGGAAGTAGCTGTAATACCATCCAGCTGCAGCTGTTGGTAACTGCATGCCTATCAGGATTAACTAATTGTTAATCAGTAAATCCAACCAAAACTCACTTCTCCAAGGTTTGTTGTTATTAAACTAATCCAGACTCGAGAGAACCCCTCATGCAACATATAACCAATAATTGATACAAATTATAATCGTTTATCAATCAATTGGTTGATTTTTGAAAAATTATTAATGATCAATTATTAGTTATTAATGGTGCCCAAGATGGGAAGGTACATGTTATGGTAATATATGTTTGTGTTTGCTGGTAAATTGCTGCTACTCCTTCATTATCAGTCTGACAATACTATACGCCTGCTTTCAATAGCAGTCTTTCTCCAGTAGTTCCATGCTCCAGCTCACAGCTGAAACTCTCTCCTATTGTTTTGGCAGGAAAGTGGTGGAATACAACCGTGAGGCTTTTAATTCCTATCCTAATAATCTGTGCAGTGGGGAAATCCCCAAGGGCAGGACTGGTCTACAGAACTGAATAGGGAAGGATATAATTTCCTACTGCAGGGGCCAGGGCCCTGAGAGTGAAGCACTGGATGTTTGTGCCAATATCACAAGCTTTAAAATCCTGTCGCTTCTCTTATCCTGCATACTTTGAAGGACACAATATTTGACTTATGAAGTGGCAGGCAATGAGAGGTTTCATGAATGAACTCTGCCTTGCCAAACTGTGTCAGATGAGGACTAATTTTTACTCTGTCTAGAAGATTTAAGATGGCTGCATTGTATATCCAACTGCTCAACATTTGTAAGTACATTTTTCATTGCTGTAGCTGGTTCCATCTGTCATAAGCGTCATGAAAAGTGAACAAGATTTATTTGACGTGTCGGCTGCGTTTTAAGCAACCTAGTCAGAGATTTATGATGTACATCAATGAGATTGATATAACATGCATCCCTGCTAGCTGTAGCTTTAACTCAAGATTTACTGGAGCTCTATTTGTGCCTTTTATACGAAACATCTACTAAAGAAAGCAGGGCTCCCTGAAATCTTTCTACTGGACTCACAGACAGCACCCACAGTGCACACATCCAAAGGCAACTCAGACTTTGTGCTCTGAAGACACAGTTAGACAAAAGCACTGCCAAGAAATAGCTTTCAGCAGAAAAAAGCATTCTGGGTACTAACATGCAAATAAATTGTACAAGAAACCTTACTGGCTAGGAACAAGACATGGCTGTGGGACACTACCATAGCTTGGGTCCTAAGTGTTCTGAACAGTGGCCCCTTCTTCCTAATTCAATGGAAGGTGTCAAGACATGCCTTAATGCACAAAACCTGCATATTGAATCACCAGCAGCAAGGGGCTGAAGGTCAAAGCTAACTTTCATCCTAGTGGGTTCAGTTTAGATACTACAGGAGAAACCATAGCAGAGCTCCAGTTGGGTTTTTCTGTGGGATAATTCCTGCTTTAAGGAAGGGTCTGAGTTCTGCAGTGCTCGTCCTGTTTACTAATAAGATTACATAGCACTTTTCATCCTCAAGGTTCACTTCAGGGCACTTCACAAACTCTGCCCACGAGGGCTGCTGAAATGCAGCCCTGTGCAGCGCATCAATAGGATTATGTATTGTTTGTATTGCAGACGTACCAAAATGTTAAACGCTCTCCAGACCAGAGCCAGAATCTTCCCAAAGAGCTTAGTGAGATGAAGGGGAAGAGATACAATACATCAATATAGTGATCTGGAGGGGGCAGGGACATGTTTTCTTAACCCCGGGAGTTATTTTAATGTGGTTTTTGAACACAGTGCTCCCAAGGGAGTGAATTAAATGAGGCAAGGGTAGAGGACAGATGGATAAAATAACGTCGTGAAAGTCATTTCAGGCAGACGGTAGCCTGGACTCTGGGCTTTTCCTTTCATAATAATTGCTGTGCCTAAGAGCTATTGAGATGTGTGTCGTCAGCCTGAGGAGCGGATGTGAAATGAGCTCAGGTGGGAGATGGGAGCAGTGGCTGTTCACATTTTATACGCAGGGCAATGGAGACCCAGGAGCTTCTAGCTTTCCCCGTGAACACCCAAGATATTCCCCCTCGGCCATGGCATCTAGAACCTCCAGAGGAGATTGTGGAGGAAGAGGAGGGTGGCACTGAGGAAGAGGTGACTCTGAGAACCAACATCTCCTCCTCCTCCTCCTACCTAGATGTCATGCCTCCGCCACTGTTCTTAGCCTATAACGTGTGGCTTTTTCAGGACCTAGCAAAGCAAGTTGCAGATACCCTTGGAAGAAGTCAAGGACACCCATCACAAGCTCCTTGACATACTACACTCCTCATCCTCTTAAAATAGCCCTCCCTATTAATGAGGCTCTCTTGGATCCTGCAGAAACCATATGGCAGACCCCAGCATCAGTGGCACCTACTTTTGCATCTGATGATGTGGGTTATATCCCACAAAAGCTTATGCCCAAATACATTTGTTAGTCTCTAAGGTGCCACAAGGACTCTCATTGTTTTTACTGGCACCTACTTGCAAGCAAACCAATTAAAAAAAAAAAAAGTCTCAGCTACGGAGAGAGAATTCCTCTTCTCCCACCCTCCCCCAAACTCCAGTGTCATGGACGCTGTGAACACTTGGGGCCATCAGTGCCAAATGAGGTTCACTCCCTATGACAAAAAGAACAGGAGTACTTGTGGCACCTTAGAGACTAACAAATTTATTTGAGCATAAGCTTTCGTGGGCTACAGCCCACTTCATCGGATGCATAAAATGGAACACACAGAAAGAAGATATTTATACATACAGAGAACATGAAAGGGTGGAAGTAGCCATACCAACTGTAAGAGGCCAATCAATTGAGATGAGCTATCAGCAAGAGGAAAAAAAAAAAACTTTTGAAGTGATAATCGAGATGACCCATAGAAGGTGTGAGGATACTTAACATGGGAAAATAGATTCAATTAGTGTAATGACCCAACCATTCCTAGTCTCTGTTTAAACCTAAGTTAATTGTATCTAATTTGCATATTAATTCCCTATGACAGGGATTGGAAACATTTGGACCTATTTGGTAGGAAAGCCTATTCCTTGGCTATGCTACAGTTTCGAATCACTATCACAATATTAAGCCTTAACTTTGAAATATGACTATCAACTATTCGAAACTTAGCAACTTTATTGCTCAGCTTCCTGGCCACAGAGTGAACAGTTCAAGCTATCATCCAGGAGGGACAGCTATTAGCCAAGACAGCGCTACAGTCTGCCCTCGATGCAGCTGACACAGTGGCCCGGTCCATCTCCACAGCGATAGTTATGTGATATGCATCATGGTTACACCTTTCAGGCTTCCCTAAAGAGGTGCAGTTGACTGTCGATGACCTTCCCTTTGAAGGCACCAAGCTCTTCATAGCAAAGACGGATGCCTCTCTTCGTATCCTAAAAGACTCTCGGGCTGCTTGCCACTTGCTGGGAGCTATACACCTGGACAAAAGAGAAAATTTGGTCTGCAGCCCCAATGCAAACCACTCACCTTCTAACACCCGACAGAGCACTAATGCAAACCTCAGAGGAAGAAATCTAAATTTCCTAGGCAAAAACCATCTGGCCCATCTCCAAACACCAATTTTGACATGTTGGTCGAAGTATCGAGAGACCACTATAGCTGACCACTGTTTCGTATGCATTTGGCTACTGCCTTGCAAAGTTCCACAGCACCTGGGAATGCTAAACATTGGAACAATGGGTCCTGGAAGTTGTTCACAATGGATATTCCATCCATTTCACCTCCCTATCTCCTCCATTAGGGATACTGCTCCGGAGTCACCGACAATGGAGCACCCATGAAGACGCTACTTGAAGAAATAGTAGTTGTTAATCACCTTGTGCAGTCAATGACTCTGCAGTAGAGAAGAAACTGAGAGGGTTAGCCCATGTGCTCTGGCTAGCCTTGTGGTAGGGCACGAGGCGAGAGAGCGTCTGCAGGCATAACAGACACTGCTACCAAAGTTCTCCGATCAGCAGTGCAGAGACACAAGCACACCTACAGTGGAGCACTCATAGAGAGACACATAACAAAGAACCATTGTTACTGCACAAGGTGAGTAACTTCTTCTCACCTTGGGGTTTGAACAGTACTTTTCTCTATATAACACCTGATACAGGTGACAAGCATTATAAGAAGACAAATGCATGGAGCAGTTCTCTAGAAGATCTTTCGCTAACAGGCTTCCCTGATGTGACAATTGGAGAACCACCCATGTAATTCAGTGAATCTTGCCACTGTCAAGGCTGGTTGTGTCCCCAGACACAACCTCTCCAGCCCTTCTGTAATCAGCAGCATGGGGGAGGGGGGTAAGGGGCTGCTGTCCAGTGGTGTTGGTGGGATCTCATGCAAGTCAGCTATTGTGTTATACAAAATCCAGCAGAGCCAAAACTGAAATGAGGCTGCATAAATGTCAGGCACCATCTTAATACCTCTCTCCAGTGAATGCTCCTTACATCCCGAGTGTACTGGGCAGGGGTTAGTGTGTGTGCTGGGTAAGTGAAGCAGCGAGGCCTGGAAGGCAAAGAAATTGCCTGCTGTAAGAAATTGTTGTCTAATATGCATTAGGTCAGGCTCCCATGTCCCCCACCTTTTCATCAGTTCTCCTCAGCTCTCTCCCATCCCCACCACTTCTGGTAGTCTGCTCCCCATCAGATGATTCCTTTTCGGGGCGATCAATATAATTATTATCTCTCTTTGCTATTACTGATCTGTTACTATATTAACACATTTGGAGATACAATTTGCATAAAAGACTATGCAAATTAGTGTGGCATAGTGCTGGTTCATCCATCCCTCTGCTTAGAGAGACAATCCTATAGAATTCCTAATTTCCCAGACTGGTCTCTCTTGCCCACATCACTTAGTGTACTCAAGAGGAATGGAATCTCTGAAGGAAAATAACTCATTGCTCATGGGTTATTTGCAAAACATAGAGGATTTATTAATCTCCAAACAGCGTGGAATGTAGAGTTAAGAGTCAGCTTCACATTTCTTTATTCTCCTCATGTTAAAACAAGCAAATCTATGTACATGGTTCCAGGACAGTTATTAACATCTTTATAAATTAAGCAGCCAGGATGAGGAAAGAGTTTGTCCCCCACCCCACCGCCCCAGGTTACACACAATATTTCCAGAAGCACTCAGAGAGGTTCCCACGTTTTTTATTCTGTTTCCTGTCTTTGGCCAGCAGGCGGCTCAGCAAAGCAATTCGAGGGTGACTTCCATAGAAAGCCTAAAATCAAGCAACAGCATGCAGGTTAGTGAGGGGGAAATCAGATTAATCCTCTGAAAAATGCTTACAATGAGATGTAGTCCCTCTGCCATCTCTGACCGGGCCCTGTGGTCCAATATTCCAAGTACCCCAGAGAGCCAGACAGACCAGTATCCCTCTGTGATCCAAAATGCTAATCAAACTCCCTGCCTTAATCTTTAAAGGATCAATATATGGTAAATATTAATGATTTTGTATTATCAATTAGCCCATTATCATTGTGCTAATGTTTCACACATTGCAGTGGGAAAAGTGACATATTTATTGAATCCTTATTGAATCTAACCCATATCCATACACACTCTTTAGCCAGGCCTGTGGAGGCTGGAACTGGCCATTTATTTGGAAGGCAGTTTTTCAGGAGAGGGCTGGAATTTTAAAATTATGCTAAAATGCTCTCAATTTCTGCCAAATCTGTGTTACTATGGCCTTGAAAATATTTTTAAAATTATGCAAATTAGCAGTTTTCTGCCATAATCTTCCAACATCCTTTTTCTGCTACAGAAAGGTGGGTCATACTTTGATCTAAACTATTTTTAAGTTAAATGGATCTTTAAAGGGTGTCTTATTATCCACTTCTCCTTAATCTAAAATGTGGGTTTTCAGTTTCTTATTTTGACAATAGCTAGTCGTTCACTTACCTCTTTCACATTTTCCCTTGGATTGTAGCTGCTAGGGCTGAGACCTGAAAAAACAAGTATGAAATGCTTCTTAATTTAGAAATGGAGAGACTACCCGTGTCACTTCTGATTGCCAAAATATAACCCACAGAGGTAAAACAGAAGTTAAGAAGATCAAATACCAACTGTCCCTTCTGATGTAGGGGCAGTCCTTGTCATAGCACGTTATTCCTGATGGGTGTTTGATAGTGGGGCTGCAGCTCTTACCTCTAAAGACCCTCTCTCCCGCATAAGTCATTGTATCATGACATTTATGGCTGTAGAGTCTGCATTTTCTGAAAATGCTAATGCATTTCAACAGACTGTGACATTTGCAAGGCCCAGTTACCCACTCCCAGACCAAGTCACTGTCTTGCCTAGAGGAGTTCCTTGCCTCCTAGTCATCATCAACCACTCAACATCAGTATGAAGTTCAACAGACTTTTTTTCAGACTCACTGACTTAGAGGGCTGCAACTTCCTTTCACTGTTAATGAGTTCTTAATGGGATTCTACCTGATGGTTCTTTGATTCTCCCCCCAACTTAAAATGTTCCTGCTGGTGGGGTTTGGGTTCTCTGCAGACAGTGAACTTCAGCTGCTTTGACAATGTGCACCCTCCAGGCAGATTCATATTGCAAGATGTTTCTTATTTCTTGTGGCTCAAATCCCAGCTGAATTTTCAGAAGGGACCCTTGGCATTTTGTACCTTGGAAAATCTCTATGTGGAAACTGCGTGGGAGAGCTTTACCTTCTTTGCTGGGACTGTCCTCAGTTTGTGCCCCCAGGAGCCTTGGCAGAGTCTGCAGCAGAGATGCTGTCCCCAAGCTGTCCAATCGCTCCACATTTAATCTTGTATCTTCATCTGCTGTTGGTAGAAGACATTTAAAGAAGACATCAGCGTCTGTATGGGATGACACCTGCCTCAAGACCCGATTTCCTTTTGGGTAACATCCATTCAGTCAGATGGCTCCTGAGCAGGCCTGTGGGCCCATGTTTTGAAGACGTCAGCAGGCACCAGTAGTTAATCACTGACCTTTATTTAATGAATGTGAAAAAGGTGGTGCTTGCTTCTTTGGGCACCTGAGTGACCCTCCTGATGTTACATCTATACATCTCTCTGTTCTCACTGTTCTAACAGATCTACCCAATTCAGCACAGTAAGTCACCCATTCGTTTGGGGCCCGGGCTACCTACAGCTCCAAGCACAGAAACTACTGCTGTTCAGAATGTCTGCAATGCTAAAAGAAATACAATGTGAAAGTGGCAGTCTTGCAAATGATTACATGGAGCAGCATGTGGCTCACTGCTCAGATGAACTGGACAGGCTACCAAAACAAGATCCGACTGTCTGAAAGGAAAGAAAGGTGGGATTTAACAAGATAATGATTTCTAGAGCTTTGTGATACCATTTCAGGAGAACCTACATGAATACAAGCTGGGGTCTTTTAGCACCCTGAAATAGCTGGCTGATTTAGAGACAATATAATGGATCATAGGTATCATTTATCTGCTTTTGATTTCCCCACAAATCCCTTCTTTTATTTAAATTAAATGTAAAACATTTTAATGAAAACAAAATATGAGGGGGGGGGGGATTTTTTAAAAATCCTTGGCCATAAGCAAATACTGTAATTTGCCTAGTAACTCTGCAGAGGGACAGTTGCAGAGGTCACTGGAAAGTTTCAGAAATGAGTCTTTGCATAAGACAAGCTGCTACCTCCATGTGCAATATGCTGAGACATTTCACACAGTTATTCTAACATACTTTGCCTCTCCCTATCAATGCTGATATACACCTTTGGTTTGAGATAAAAGTATATATTTGAATATAGACTCTGATTTTGTCTTTTGTTCTCTAGAGGGTGCTTTTTTATTAGTAGAGAAGATTTAATAAGCTTAATGCATGCCTCCAGACAAATGCAGTTGATATTAATGGTTACTGCCAGCTCGTCCATCTTATCATACGGTGAATGATGTCTGGATTGAATGACAGCTGGCTGTAAACTGACTGCAATTACACAGTAGAAGGTTTGTAAAGACACTTGTTTAAATTTTGGACTTACTAATATTTAGAAAAACATTTTAGTGTCTATCAGACTTTGTAAACTAATATATCAGCAGTGTCTCCAACAAAAGAACATGAATTACTTAAGTAGAGGGCAGGTAGGCACAGTCCCTTCTTCGTGCACAGCTTTCTGACCTGCAGCACTCCCTGATCTTCCAGCCTGAGCCCTGGCTCAGAGTTCTGTTCATATACTTCAATCCTGACTATATGGTATCTTCTCTATTCCATTTTTGGACCCCTGTACTGTTTTACCTGTGCCCCTCAGTCCTGACCTACTGTACCTCTACTTTTCTAAAACTTGGATTTCCCAAGCAGAAACTTCTTCTCTTTGTAAACTGAATGAAGTCTCCTTAACGTGAGCAACTCTCTACCAGGATACTAAATGTAAAATGGCTAAACTCATTTTCATTGTTGACTTAAGCCAAAATTGGACTGTCCTCAACTCCAACGGAAGTGGTTACTGCATTAATTTCTGCAGTACCTCTCCCACTTCTAGATATTTTTTAATTTTAAAAATAATGAATAAGAAGTCTTAAAGTACAGCCAGAGGAACTGTCCATGCAGCCAGGCTACTCTAAATGGAGAATCAAATGTCAGCTAGCTCACATTTCATGTTGCAGGGTTCAGAGAACTTGCATTCAGGATCTGAAGGCAATAGCAAGGGATATTTAGGGCACCCAACCTCTCCATTTTATGAGGACTTACACTGAACTGCTGATTCCAATTGTGCCTCTAGCATCATGAAGAAACATCTGTTTTTTGCCACAGCTGAAGAACACAGATGAGAAAAGGTCCTTTCTGAAAGAATTTCTTGGTTACTTATTCAGCATTATTGTCCAGTGCCCTACTAAGCTCCTGACCACTAAAAGCAAAAAAAGTCTTACCTGAGAGCTGATAGGACACCTCCCTGGAGTCGATAATGGGGAGAGACGAGAGAGGACATGAGAGGCTGATAATAAAGAGACAGCAGAATACCAGCCTATGCATTGTTGCTGCGTGAATATAATTCGTCTTTGTTGACCCCGTCGTGCAGAACCGCTATCTGACTGGTGCTTCTCCTCCCAATTTCACCCATTATATAGCCACTCATGACCTCATAAATATCATTGTCCAAAAAAAAAAATCCAATGAATTTATTGTCCATTGATTCTAAATGGAAATCACTTTGCATTGATGTCATTTTTCAAGGTAACAGTTCATAGCCAATAAATTTACTGTCTCATTGCGTGGTGTACAAAGTGGATATTATATCAAACCAGGCACAGTAAAGTTTATAAATCTGGCATAAAAAATAACTTCCAGTTATAAATCATGAGTTAACGAAAGGGTCAGACGTTGGTTGAAATGACCAGGGCAGTGAGATGGCTGATTTATGAGCCTTAGCAAGCTTGACGCAAAGCATCTGATATGAAATTTTTTTTTTTTCCTTTTGTGAGTTGGATGGATGAGTTGTCATGTTGTGTTGGGGGTTCTTGTGCCAGGAGAGTGAGAGGAGAGGAGATTAAAACTTCCATCCAGTTGTTTAATTTGCAAAGAAAAGCTGAGCTGAGTTCAAGATGCTGGTGTTTTTCCCATAGATTTCATGTCTGTTTATTTTTTCCCATTTGCAAAGTCCTTTTCCAATATTGCCCTAGAGAATTGCCTTGGCAGCAGGAGCATGACTTTGATCTTCCTTTACAGTTAGGTGGAGACTCACTCAATACATATAAACTAGTTTGGGAAGTGTTAAATATAGGCCTTTTACTAGCCTGTGAGCAGCACTGACCTCCTTTCTAGCTTACCTACCACCTGTTTCCCTCCTCTAAAGAAATTTACTTGATCTTGTATTAGATAATGTACTACTCTCTAGCTGGCTATCTTTTTTTCTTTTTAAAAGAAATCTATGTTAGATAGCAAACTAGACACCTTTGAAAATAAGTGCTTAAGAAAAATTCTGTACACTGGATGGACAGACTTCATCACCAACAAAGAGATCTGATAAATCACTAACCAGCAGTTCATCTCCCCTACAATTAGAAGAAAGCAATGGACAGATTTGGCACATACACGCCAGATGCCAACATACAGACTCCCACATGAAGCTGTCAAGTGAAAACCAACTGTTGTGAGGAAACATGAGCACCCAAGAGAAACCTTAAGAAGAACCCTTTGCGGGGAGGACAGAAGAATTGATCTCAACACTATAGAGTAGATGGAAGCAGCAGCTAATGGCAGAGATGGATGGAAGAGAGTTTCCATCCTTGCACCAACACTGGCACAAGAAGGATGGGGACATTCCATGTAATGCATGTCTTACATACATTGAGCTACATCTGTAGTAGTGTGTGAGTAGGTGCATATAGGGGCCATATATCAATTTGTAAAACATCTGTTGTAGGTGCCTCAACTGTGTGACCCATTTCCTACTTCCTGGACTTGCCTTTGTTTGGGTGGGTGAGTGAGATAGAAAAGAGTTCGACAAAACTAAATTAACAAATTCATGTACCCTTCTCCCCCTCCACAGGGAATGCAAGTGACTGAAGGAACTCTTCCCTCCATCTGTGACTCATACACCTTTTCATTCCAAGATTGCAAACAGCAATTAGGTCTGATTTTTGCTGCATGACCTCGTTGTTTAAGATGGTGCTGAATGCTCAGTACAAACACTTCTCCTTCAGGGAGCTATCAATGACAATGGCATCATCAACATTCACTCAGCAGATCCTCTAAGGAAAGCTAATGAAGGAAGCACTCTACATAAGCAATTTTTGTCCTTTGTCTTCCCACCAGGAAGAGTGCAGCCTCTTACAGCAATCATGAAGTGCGTCATGTAGAAATCGGGCATCTTGCCCATATCTTATTGCTTTCTACTCAGGTCTTGCATTTGTCACCTATAAACTCTCCTTTGCTGGGGTGCCAAAGGCATTCAAGAACAGGGTGCACGTCATCATGCAAAGCAAGGAAACAACTTCTCTAATGAGAATACAAAAACCCAAGCATGTGGATGGCAAAAGTGGATGTGAAATGTCAGTTTAAAAATTTGGGGGGATTCTTTTGGGAGAGTTTTTAAGCTTTTCCAAAACCATTATTCAAAACAAAAATATTCTCTGAATCCTTATTATGTTGGTAGATTTTGCTTCCAGTGGCAATACTTGCCTATGTGATAACAAGGCAATTTCAACCCAGTTTGATTATTGAACTTCTTGTGGAATAACAAGGAAGAGTAACCACATTACTGACTGTACTTTCAATATTTAATAATAATCTTTACTAACCAGGAGGAACCATTGTAAACGAGTTTTCTTATACTGTTGACCAGGTTTGATTGCAAACTATAAATTACTAAGGAGGTGTGGAATCTCTGTCATTGGCGGTTTTAAAGAGCAAGTTAGACAAACACCTGTCAGGAATGGTCTAGGTAATACTTAGTCCTGCCTCAGTGCAGGGGACTGGACTAGATGACTTATCGAGGTCCCTTCCAATCCTAAGTTTCTAGGATTATTAAATCCTTTTATAAGTCGCTGATCTGGGATGGTCACTTGTTAGGGTGACCAGATGTCCCGATTTTTGGGTCTTTTTCTTATATAGGCTCCTATGGCCCCCCCATCCCCTGATTTTTCACACTGGCTGTTTGGTCACCCTTTCACTTGTTCAAGTCAAGCACACTAAGTTGTATTTCCAGTCAATTATATTTCCATCCATATACTGTATCCATTTACTGTTGTAAACCTGAGCATACAAAAGGAAGTAGTAAAGGAACTGAGATACTGAAAATTGGCTATTAGGAGACTTACAAGAGCAAACAAAAACCTAACCATAACATGGACACTTCCTGTTAACTTTCCTTTTTCTTAGCTGCTTGTTAGCCCATTGAATAGGCAGTAACAGTAATATGGCATGTGTGGTGTATCCTGTGTATAACCAAATAGTATTTCTACTCTTTGAATCTGAGAGAAAAGTTGTAAGAGATGAAAGTAGGCTTTTCTCTTAGCTGGGTTGCTGAAAGGCATGCATGTGTGCATGCATATGAATGCATGTTTATGTGAGTGAAGATGGCAAGGAATTAAATGCTTCTGCAGTACTTTTTTTTTTTTTCTTCAGCTAAATGGGAAACATTCCCTGGGACCTGGGCTAGTATCAGATCCCAGCTGCCAAAACACTGCTCCTTTGTAGGGCAGTTTCTACCCGTTCTGAGAATATCCTCTTTGAAGCAAGTCCTGCTGGGCTGGCACACAGTATTCTGGGTTTATTCTCTCCAAGTGAAGCCTTACAAACTGGCCCTTATTTTCCTTGTCCACCCAACACTAGAGAATTAACAACTAAAACCTTCACATGTTCAACATGAAGGACAGCAAATCTGGCATGACTGGGGCTTGGAAATGTTACACATCAGCCACCTATGGGATTCAGATTCCATATTATGCATCTACTGGAGTACAGTCTTCAGACTCAGAATGAGGTTATTTTTGTCCCATGGGAATTAAACTTGTTCCACACAAAATATCATGGAGCCAACTAGGAAATTATAGTTTATTTTTGAAAAGTAAAATGGGGAACCAATACAGTTGGCAGAAGGGATAAGTAAAGGGAATCCCCTTCATTCCCCAAGTGTCCCCAAATAATCTGCTTTAACCCAAGTGAGAAAGTCTGGTCTGAGGAAAGAGTCTTGTACTGAACCAAAAGACCAACAGCAAATGCCCCAGCAGCAAAAAAGTGAATGGTCAGAGTTACTCGTAGGAAACTAAGAAAAACATAATATCTTACTGAAGTAACTTCTCTTACCTACACCTGGGTCTCCCTATAGCTGCAAAAACATACACAATTCCTAAGAATTTTCCTTTCTGTCATGTTACTCATCATGTTCTCTGTTGAATGATGCTGCAATCATAGCATTTTCATCACTGCAGTATCTGAGCACCAGAAGAATTTAGAGCAGTTTAGTCATCTCTGTTTCTGCAGATGGATGGGTTTTGTACCAGGTGCCTTTGTCTATATGTTAACAATTTTGGGGAGTGCTAGCAACAGTGCAAGTGCTAGTGTAGATAGGTCACTGGCATTTTTACCACAGAACTGAGTGCTGATACCAATCTCTTTTGTTATGAGGAAATGTTATGTTATGCTGCAGAGAAAAATCAAGTGCATTCAGACTGAATGGACAGACCTGGGTGCCTGTACTCTGACCTTTGATCTGCTGGTGGTGGATAAAGATCAGGAGTCCATATTGATCATGTTGGAGCTATTGGCTGCCTTTTATTCTTCTGATCACAGTTGTTACCTGGATTGCCATTTCACCTGGTGGCACCCATTGGGAATCAGGGCCTCATTGTGCTAGGCACTGCTCAAATATATACAATGAAAAGATGCTCCCTGCCCCAAAGAGTTTACAATCTAATTGGTAGTGTTGATTCACCTGCAAACCGAGAGGTAACGTTGCCCTTTGTATCAGAGGGGTAGCCGTGTTAGTCTGAATCTGTAAAAAGCAACAGAGGGTCCTGTGGCACCTTTGAGACTAACAGAAGTACTGGGAGCATAAGCTTTCGTGGGTAAGAACCTCACTTCTTCAGTTGCCCTTTGGTTACTTCATTCGTATCTCTTAGAGAGATCCCTGAGTGTAGTTTTGGTCAGTTCTGTCCCAAAGCTGTTCTTTTGCAGGGCTCCATCTCATTTCCTTCTCATTTGGTGAATATATGGGGCTCCTAGGAAGGTTAGTAAAGAGGCATGGTCTGCAGTGCAATCAGTAAACCCACCTATATACTTGTATTTCATCTGGCCCGGCCAGAGCTATCAAATGTTTTACCCACTGTTTGGTAAAGAGTGAGTCACAGATGAGAGGTAATTGGATGAAGTTCAATCTGGGTAAAAGTGAAGTAGTGCAGGTAGATTTGGGGAAGCACTTGGAAGATATGGAAAGGATTACATCACTTCCTTTGTTAAGGATGTTTGCCTGTCACTAGCTTTATAATCTGGAGGTGCTGTTGGATCCCCAGCTGCTATTCGTTGGCTCATATAGAAGTCCTGACAAGGACAGCTCACTTCCACTTACAGCTAGCCAAATGGCTATGACCATTTCTCTTTGATGCAAACCTTGTTACTGTGATCTATGCTCAGCAT